ATTTCAGTTCAAGTGTGAGTAAAGTGCAATACCCTTTTATTTAGAAAAGCTTTTACAGATGTTTGTTACATTCAGGTTGGCTGAAAATATATCGTTTATTTCCTCGTCTGCACACATAATGGTATGTTGTCTATTTGTGTTGTGTAAATTTCAAATGGTTGTGATTTGCGTTTTATCATTTTTAAAACCTTCAGATAAGTATGGAACATCATCATACCTGCACCCCAGCCTCAGAAATTCTACCTGAGGGGAATATATCTGGATCCCCCAAAACAAATGAATGACTGCACATTTATCACAAAAAACAATTCATTTGGAAAAGTGCTCAAAAAAAGTGGCCTATGGACCACTGAGCAAATTCCACGAGCTTCATTCAGGTGGCTTGCCTCGCATCTGTAAAGAGCACCTACAATTTGAATTCAATTCAGATTATAATGCAATAAAACACGATCTATGAGAAACAAAGGAAGCCATAAACATAGAAGTAAAACCACACAGCATCTAGCACAGTGTGTACATCACTATTGCTACAAGAGTAAAGGTAAAGGGTCCCCTGACCGTAAGGTCCAGTTGTGGATGACTCTGAGTTGTGGCGCTCATCTTGCTTTACTGGCTGAGGGAGCCGGCGTACAGCTTCCAGGTCATGTGGCCAGCATGACTAAGCTGCTTCTGGGGAACCAGAGCAGCGCATGGAAACACCGTTTACCTTCCCACCGGAGCGGTACCTGTTTATCTACTTGCACTTTGACGTGCTTTCGAACTGCTAGGTTGGCAGGAGCAGGGACCGAGCAATGGGAGCTCACCCCGTTGTGGGGATTCGAACCGCTGACCTTCTGATCAGCAAGTCCTAGGTTCTGTGGTTTAGACCGCAGCACCACCCGTGTCCCCACAGTGCCACATCTAGCACTGTGTGTATATCACTATTGCTACAAGGGGTAGAAAAACCATTAAGTGGTTTGCCAGGACCCTCAGCTATTTTCAAGTGGTCTATGGGACTTGGGGAAGTTTTGGGACCCACTGCACCAGAAGAACTGCCAGCTCACACACACCAAGAATCAGAGTGATCCCGTCTCTCTCTGCTTCTCCCTTTATGAGCGTTACTGGCAGCGCTCAAGTTAAATGCAACATTAAGTACAAAAGAAAGCTCATTGTCTGCCAGACAATGCAATCAGAGCATGTTTTATACTATACAGAGCTCAAAGGGGGACACAGCAAATGGAAGAGTGAGGTATGCAAATATATGCTTGTCACAAAGGCACCTATCTAGGCAATTTTGTACAGAAAACTGCAGTTGCAATAACACTACAAAATAATGTATGTGTTGTGCCTAAAATGTTGCACATTATTGCCATGTATTCTGCATTTACTGGAGATTTCAGTTTTTTGTTCATCGTGCGCTTTTCTTGCACACTTTCCCATGGGGCCAGTTTTGAAAGTTGCATGCATTCCATTCACTTCAATGGCAAACACAACTGGCACACAAAAATGCAAATTTCACAAATGCATATTGCAGTATAGAGACTGCTGTGCAGAGGCTGGCACTGATTTGGTGTACTAAGCACTAAAGTGAGCAGATGCGCTGTCCGGAAAAAGCCAATTTACAAAGCAGGATGTTGCACAAGCCGATTTCTCAATAGCAACGCACTGGAAAAGTGCAGGGTGTGCAGTATCTTGCCTTTATAAAAGAGCCAGACCTGATCCTTCAACAAGATAACGTAACAAGTGTTGCCATTAAAGTTCAGCAACCAGATGTCTGCATCTTGATGGCAGGGATGGAGAGCTAACCCATCAGAACAACATAAAACATTTGAACAGAACATAAACTCTAATGAACTGAAACACAACTGGGGCACAAGTCCATCCCCTCCCACATGCAACAGGATCACAAATAGTCAGGGTCTTGGAGAACATCAGCCTGCTGAAAAAAGGACATATCTCTTGCTCCTAGGTCGAGATATTAAAGGCAGACCCTCCAAGTGTCCCAATATCCCAGGGACAGTGCCGGATTGACAGAAGCCACTTTTCCTTAGGACTTCCCTATTTTCATCAGAGAAGTGTTGGAGGGTATGGTAGGACATCCCTATTCTCACTGGAGAAATGTTGGAGGTCCTGTATACCTGAAGGAGCGTCTCCACCCCCATCGTTCAGCCCGGACACTGGTTAACCCCCTTCAACTCTATGGTTTTGATCCAAAATGGCCTCCTTGCAGTTGCTTTTCATGGGGCAATACATTCACACGCCACTGATGCAACACTGAAGAAAGGAAATAACTGACTGCTACACAAGGCCATGTTCCCCCTCCCTCAAGTCTTTTTCTGGTATCCTTATTCACTTTGCTTTCTTCATAGATACATTTCAGCTGAAATTGCTGCTCCATTATCTTTTCACGGACAAATTCTGTAGCATTATATTCCACGTAATAAATAAGCTCTACTATACTAACCAAAAGCTCAAAGAACAGCAATCATATAATTAAGGGAGAATGCTATAGAAATTCAAAAGGCCTTTGGAGCGACGCTGAAAGAAGTTCATAGGAATCCACTGAAAGAAAACTGCCTGTACCGGTTCTGCGTCAAATGGTTCATTGCCCAGCAATAAAAGCTGCTTCTCAAAGTGTCAACGCAACTTTTGGGGATATGTGTTGAAATTTAAAAGCATTCCAGGTAACTGAATAGCAAGTTGCAAACACCTGGCTTGATGCTTTAGGCATGACCAAGGTTTGGAACACAAGCAATGGCCTCCTCCTTGAACAACGGACCAGCAAACCATAGCAATTCCTTTTGAAAGTCCCCTTTGTTTTGACAGTGCAGAACTACTTTGCATGGGGAAAGGCTACTTCAGAGATTCAACACCCAAAGTCCCCTTGGGATACGCAAAAGCAGCGACAAAGTTCTTTGGTTCGCTGCATGCATTATGTACTTCAGCTGATGCTACTTGGCTTATGCAACCAGGGGCAGGCTCAGTAACTCCACTCAGTTGGGTATGGCTGCCACTGCAAAGTTGGACTGTTACCTGCTATTTTTATCAGTACAATGGAGCCTCGGTTTTCAAACGTAATCCATTCCGGAAGACCGTTTGACTTCCGAAACGTTTGAAAATCAAGGAGCAATGGGCAAATCCATTGAGAAAATTAAAAAACACGCAGTGGAAGCCATTTGACTTCTGAGGCGCATTCAAAAATGGAAGCAATTATGTCCGGGTTTTTGGCGTTTGGCTTCCCAAACCTTTGGCTTCTGAGACACTCGAAAACCGAGGTCCCACTGTACTGGGAGAGTGTGGGGACTGACCAGATAGAGTTGGTGGTTGTTTTCACAGATGAAAACTCATTGCTCTTCCCCAGATGGAAGATCAACAATTGGATCTCCTCCTCTTTGTTTTGGAAACTTAAAAGCAGCAGGTGGGATTGGATCAGAACGGTATCGCTGGTGGAATTATTTAACTCATCTTTTCCCCCATACCATTTTTAAAGCAAAATTTTGCCTCCCCAGCAGCTATTAGTCCTTCTGGGAGTGGGGGAATGAGAGGTATTGAACAGGCTTAAGTAAACAAATGGCAGAATGAGGGAAACTAATAATAGCTGTATCCACCCCCCTCCCCCGAGTCACATAAGTGAATGAAATCTGGAGGCAGAAGACCCCTCCTGTAAGTGGATTATCCCAGTCAAATTCAAGGCAGATCCATTCAGGGGTTATCACGCAAGGAACTTTTAATGTGCATGTTTGTTATAAAGTCTCTGCTTTTTATCTTCTGCCAGATACATATTGCAGGCGAGAGACCTTCTGAGGGGATGAAACCGGAAAAAGTTCAGACGATGAGGTGTAGCAGTTCTCCTTGCAAGGTATTTTGGGGTGGAAAAACAGAAATAACACCTTTTCCCCTCCAGTTTTTTTCCTCCTTTGGGGGAGGAGAGGGGGCAATCTGTTCGAAAACTGGGGACATGAAGAAGGTGTGCCTGAGTAAGAAATCTGTCAAAGCTCAGGCAAGTAGATCCAGGAGCTATCACGTCAGGTGAATTTTAAAAGTGGAAAAAAATCCGCCCCCCCCCTTCCTGGAGTACCATCCTTGAAGGAAAAAACAGAGGGATATGGCCATGTCATGGAGCATCTGTCATGGAGGCACTGGACTAGATGACTTTTGGGGTCCTTTCCCTTCTATGATTCTATCTGTTTGATATCTTTTTGTGGAAATAAGGCAACAGAGCTACATGGAAGATTGGGGATGCCCTGATCTGATTCAACAAGCTACATTATGTGATCCAATTCAGGACACTGAGGATCACCCCCAATCATCTCAGGGTACATATAGCTGATACACATTTTTGTAGAAACCACCATCTTATTTTGGGGTAGACTAATCCGGTTCTAAATTGGGGGGGGGGAGAGACTACCCAAGTCTGACATTAGTGTGGTGCCAGTTTTCAAAGAACCCTAGTAGCTCTTAGCTCCCCTCCAGAATTACTGCTCCCAAGCTCTAAGCTAAGGAACCAAGTGGTGATAGTCAGGCCAGTGGGGGCCACCTCCCCTCCCTCACCCAGGGCTTTTTTCAGCCTGAACCCAGTTCTGGCACATCTCAGATGAGCACCATTCTCATTATAAGAGGACAAAGGAGGCTTTCGTGGTGAGTTCTGGCACCCCTTTTTCTAGAAAGAGTGCACTTGAAATGCCCTTCCTCAAATCTCAGTTAAGAGTTCAATATGTGAACATCAGAAGGAGCGCGTAAGCCATGGGTAGGCAAACTAAGGCCTGGGGGCCGGATCTGGCCCAATCACCTTCTCAATCCGGCCCACAGACAGTTCGGGAGTCAGCGTGTTTATATATGAGTAGAATGTGTCCTTTTAGTTAAAATGCATCTCTGGGTTATTTGTGGGACATAGGAATTTGTTCATTCCCCTCCCCCACCCCCCAATATAGTCCGGCCCACCACAAGGTCTGAGGGACAGTGGACTGCCCCCCCTGCCTTAAGCCCAAGGATCTGTAAATCAACGGTGCGACACCAGAAAGTACAAAAACAGCATTTTTTTTTTAATTCTGATTGCCAAATTATTTAAGGCAGGTATAAAAATGAAAGCATTCAATATACATTTTACATAAAATAAACTAGATTACAGCATAAAACAAGTAACCAGGCAATGGCATTAAAGTCTCTCTTCTAAAACGGGATAATTGTAAACATTAAAAAAAAGACTGCAGGACTATTCAAGTAATAGAACAATCACAGACGTCTTCTGGTATGCAGGCTATTGGGTTATTTGCCATTCAAGATTATAAAAAGGACATTTCATTATTCACAGGTGCTCATTATTTCCCCATTTAAAATCCTGTACATTATGTACAACACAGTTTTTGTGGTACTGGCAACCCCATGCCTTCCGAATGTATATTCTTCACAATACACAATTACAATGAGACAGTTAATACAGTAACATTTTACACTGATGCATCTTAATAGGAGATACCAAATAGACATCTAAATTGTACCAAAGTGTCATCGTCGTCACAGTTAACCTCTATTGAGGGTTGTGGGCAATATTAGAAGAGTATGCAAGGTTCAGGCACACAGATACGCAACGTTAGTTATTTACAATTAAAAAAGCCAAAGGAAGGAAAAGAAGAAACAAACAACCTTTTGTGGTTAACGTTTTCCAAACAAGACAATACACTTCTTTTCATTTACTTTGTGGTTTACAACTTAGCAGCAGGCTCTCTGTGTGAGCCTGATTACCGATACAAAAAGTAAAGAATATATTTATATATATATATATTTATATATATATTTATATTTATATAAGCATATATATATAAAAAACAGAAGTCTAAATACAGCAACATTTGTTACTCTGTGATAAAAATCTGCAATTTACAAAAATGAAATGACTGGTTTTTGCCTGCCATTAAGGCATTTCAAATTAACACCATGGAACTGATGTCTGTAATAAAGCGCTTTTTCTTCTTCATGTGATCCAGTCACATGACGATGCACATTTCCAAAATTATCATTCTCTGAAAAAGAAAAGAAAGGCAGGGATTATTTCAGAACAATGCAGTCTCATTAATTTATGTCAACAACCTCAGTAAACGAGAGCGGGGGAGGGCCGTGAATTATGCTATAGCAGCACTGGAAAGTCTGGGTCATTAAAAGCTGCACCGAATTAACTTTCATTTAATTATATATAAGGTTTCCATTTCCTTTGAAAGGTTGAAAAGTAATCCTATTTAAAAGCAGATAAATAATTTACAAAGAAATGCACATCATATGCTATGAGAAAGCGCTGCTACTCGTTTTCTACTAACACATAGCTTCTTACAAATATCAGAAGACATCAGAAAGAGATGCACATTTGGTTTAAAGAGGGTGTGCATGAATGCACACACACACACACACACACAAATAGTCAGCAAATTCTAAATGACTTGCTTTGACATGATGGGCAATATACCATATTGGCCCGAATATAAGCTGACCCCTTAAAACTGGGTTACAGGCTGAAAATCGCTGCGGTTGGTAGAAATGTAACTCTGAGCCAATTTAAGCCTTTGATCTTCCAGCCCCCAAAAGTTACCGTACAATTGCTAAAATCGCAAATCGCTATACAATTGCTACAATTGCAAATCGGCAATAGAACATTTTTTTTGTTCCGTTTTGCCGTATGTCTGTTCCAGCAGCAATATCGTAAAAGCCCATTTGTGTAAGGTCGCGAATTTAAGCCGGACTTTTAACTTTCCATAGTCAGAATTGGGGGGGGGGGGCGGCTTATATTCGGGCCAATGCGGTATGTACACATATTTCAAGGGAACATGGTCTGGTTCAGCGATCAATTATCTAAGCGATGGAAACAGCTCCACGTAAAACGTTATCGTGAGTAGAGTGATGCTGCAATTAACCAAAGAAAGCACCTGCCCATTAAGAAGTCTATGTAGGCCTCCACCCTCAAAAGACTGTGGTTCGCTTCCCCTCCTCCCTATTAAGATGCCTTATGCATATAATTTCGAGGTTTACAGGATATTTACCTCCGTTGTGCAGGAAACATACCAGATGCAGAAGCTTGAGCCGCGACCTGCTGAGTGGCGACAAGGGCAGCAGAGGTCAGCCCTGGAGGAAAAGGTGAAAACAGTGTATCTCAATGGATGGATCTCCTCCAATGGTTTTAACAAGACATGAAATCACAACAGCCCCGCCGTACTCTGTGCAGAAAGCATACATAATAATTGCAGGCAGGCAGAAGGAGGAAAACCTGCCTGCCTCCTTTAGCCAGCATGCCTTCTTCCGATTCCACCTAATAGGCATTTTGTAAGGGGAAGAAGGCATTCCACCTTATTGTATTCTTTTCCAAGTGCTGCACTGCATGGTGCTAAATGGCTTGTATGAATTCCTGAATAGGAAGCTCAGTAGAAATAATAGGCACCGGGAAACAACAAGAATCAAAAGTCACAGTGAGTTGCGGCGACGGCGTGGTAGCTACTCAGAACATAATACTTTCATAATAGCTATCATTTTAACGTTTTTCCTTTTGAATGCACATAATGTATCCCATAAGGCGTGCGGAGCCATTGAATTGCATTTTGAAACAGTCAGGACTTCCAAGAAAGAAAGGAACTGCGAAGGCGCCAAGTGAACATAATGAATTAATGCCATTTGTGCTGCAAACACGACAGTGGCTCTTTTCTGCATAGGGGAAGAATCTCCTTTTAATATTGCTAGACGACAGGGGCAGCAGGGGGGGAAAAAGCTCGCTTGTGCAGCTTACTGTGAACCCATCTGCGGCTCCATTAACAAGGAGTCGAGGACTTCTCTAAATAAACACAGTCCTAATTTGGGAGCTGGGAGAATGTTAAGACTGCTATGTCCTTTTCTAATGCGCAAGCATTCCAAAAGCATACTTCAGTGGTACAGTATTTGCTTTGTATGCAGAAGCTCCTAGGTTCAATCTTTGAGATCTCTATGTGCATTAAAAATCTTCACTCTGTATCACACTCTTTATATCGCTTGCACAAGGTAATTGGCAGTAAATGCCCCCCTCCCCAAGCAAAGCAAAACATCCTTTGGCTGTCTCTTCTTAGTTTAATGTAAGTTCATGCTGAAATCTGAAGTACCCATAATGTAACCTTGTACATCAAGGAAAGTGACATATTTTTTTTTCAAATAGTCATGCAAAAAAATAAAAAATAAGGAAACTTAATTTGCAAGATTATATCCCTCTCCATAAAGGTAAAGATACCCCTGACCATTAGGTCCAGTCGTGGACGACTCTGGGGTTGCGGTGCTCATCTTGCTCTATAGGCCGAGGGAGCCGGTGTTTGTCTACCAGGCAGACAGCTTCCGGGTCATGTGGCCAGCATGACTAAGCCGCTTCTGGCAAACCAGAGCAGTGCACTGAAACACCTTCCCACCACAGTGGTACCTATTTATCTACCTGCAGTTGATGTGCTTTCAAACTGCTAGGTGGGCAAGAGTTGGGACTCAACAACAGGAGTTCACCCCATTGCGGGGATTCAAACCGCCAACCTCCTGATCGGCAAGCCCTAGGCTCTGTGGTTTAGGCCACAGCGCTACCCGCGTCCATCCCTCTCCATAGGCATGTCTTATATTAAAAGCATGGGAAAATGTTGCACTTGCATGTATTGCTAAACCATGGTTTACTGTTATGAGGCCAAGTGCCAGAGAGCCTTAGTGTTGCGTATTGCCCCCTCCTCCCCTTGGTTCAGCTTTGGGGAGGCATTCAGAAACCTTTTCTTCCATTTTAGTCCAGTTGCTGCTTCTCCATATATCTAAACCTGGACAAACTGTAGTCAGATTTAACTATAATCAATGGAAACAATCCAATTTGCACACCACGGGGAACTGAAGCTTGCTTTCATTAATCAGTCTAGATCAGGGCTTCCTAAATTTGGGTCTTCAGCAGCTTTGGGACTACAACTCCCATCATCCTTAGCTGTCAGGACCAGTGGTCAGGGGGGTGATGGGAATTGTAGTTCAAAATCAGCTGGAGACCCAAGTTTGGAAAACCCTGGTAGATGAACCACATTTTAAGGCTCAGACATAATCTTTAGAATGGAAGCTTCTTCATCTCCTCCTTGCAGTTACACTGGAGGTGGAGAAGGGGACTTTCAGCTTCTGATCTCCTTGCAGTGCACAGTGGGAAAGGGGCTGGAGTGTGGATTGTTGCCATAATACTACACTGTGGTTCAGTGCTACGTGCGATCCAAGTCAGTCAAGTTCAGCCACTTTAATGATTCCAAGCAGGAAGACGCAGCTCACCTTGAAACGGGTCGTATTGACCAGGAATTAGTGGGTAGCCCATTCCGACATGGGTGTGGTGATGGGTATGAAGATGCCGTTGACTAAAAGGGGAATGTCGATCTCGCTCCCTCTCCGCTTCCCTTTCGCGCTCAGAAGTAGATTTCTCTACAGGCTGGAAACAGAAAGGCACCCAAACAATAAGCGCTTCGCTTGCGGATGCAGAAGATCACATTCTGATGGTTTGCGGGATTCTCTCTGACTCAGCCTGTATCTACATTTCAGCAGATTTCATTTCTCGCTAGGCAAGCTGCTGCCTCCCTTGGTCTGGGAGGCTTTTAAAAAACTGCTTTAATTGAAGGTTAGGGTAAGTGGCTTTTGCTTCCGCAATTACAATGCGGCCTGACTTATTTAAAAACACACAATTGTTTTACGCTTGGATAGGGAAACTGAAAAAAAAATGTTTGGAAGAGAATCCCTTCTGGTATGCGTGTGTATGTTCTAGTTAGCTTAAAGTCTATGCTGTACCTTGGGAAGGGTAAGTAAAATAATTACCCAGTTCATACAGAAACAATATAAAAATCAACCTCCCTGCCTCCTTAACTTTATCTTATTATTATTTGCAATATAAGAAGTTACAGTTAAAATGCAACATATAGGGTCCGGGCTGCACATCAACCCCAGAGTTAAAAAACAAACTATGGTTTAATTTGAATGTGCTTCGGTGCACGTTGCTGATAAAGTTATTGTTGTGCTCCTTCCCCGTTCCTGACATGCCAATAGGTAATAAGCCTCACTCTGGCTTGTGGTGCTGGCCGAATCTGGATTTGTTTCTCTCTGAACAAACCAGCTGTCTTAGCTTATTGGAGGAAACGACTCTTAACTTCAGGTCTGACTGTTGTGACAATGCAAATTCTGGCTTTTTTCCTGGTGGTGTAGCAACAGCAGCAGTGAGGGAGGAGCGCAGCAAGGACTTTTCAGCAGGGTACACCAGCATAGAATTATAGATTTGGAAGGGACCATGAGGATCATCTCATCCATGGGTAGGCAAACTAAGGCCTGGTGGCCGGATCCGGCCCAATCGCCTTCTCAATCCGGCCTGCGGACTGTCTGGGAATCAGTGTGTTTCTACATGAGTAGAATGTGTCCTTTTATTTAAAATGTATTTCTGGGTTATTTGTGGGACATAGGAATTCGCCCATTTCCCCCCTCTAAAATATAGTCCAGCCCCCCACAAGGTCTGAGAGACAGTGGACTGGCCCCCTGCTGAAAAGGTTTGCTGACCCCTGAGTTCTAGTCCAATCACCAGCAATGCAGAAATATGCAGCTGTCCCATATGGAGGTCGAACCTGCAACCGTGGCGTTAACGGCACCACATTCCAACCAACTGAGCTCTCCAGGCTTGTTATAGTTTGCTTTTAACAATGTGCAAACTGGGCCCTGGAGCCAAGTATCCGTACATCTAAATTTCTACCCAAATCAGTGCACGCTATAAAGACGCTTTGCAGAAAACCAGATGATCCATATCCGTCATTTTTTTATTTATAGCAGGAAGTGGCTTAGAAGCATATTTTGGCCTTAGGCAGTATATAACTAAATAAAATAAAATAAAAAGTGGTTTCCCATTTGCACGGCTACGGTATAATTGACCGGTCAAGGAGGCATCCAACGTCCATGGACATTGTCTCATGCACTTTATTTTATGATACTGCGCATGCATACTGGGAACCATGGGCTTCAGTGATGTTTCTAGCAGGGGTTCTGAAGGAGCAAGCTTTGGGGGTCATATAGGAAGACCCAGTGGGCTTAACAAATAAGGTGCTGGAATTCGTACATATAGAACCCTGCTGAAATCCCAGTCCTGTTTCAGAAGTATACCACCCGTGTGTCCTCTCTTCCCCCAAATCCTGACTATCCCCAAGGTGTACAAATCATAACAAGAGATGTCTTACAGCAGGAGACTTGCTGCGATACTGGTTGGCGTGTTGCTGAAGCAAATCCAGTGCTTTCGATTCAGTGGTAGATTTTACACCGATAGTAGGGCTGGTATTGACTTTTTCCACCTCTTCTCTTCCGGACATCTTTCCATAAACAGGATAATGAAATCCCGGCGACAGATAGGCCCCTGCAGATAAATAATAAATGCTGTATCACGTTACTGTTTACATTTGGGGGCGGGCCACTCCAAATGCATCCAATTCAGATTACCAAAGTTGCACCCGTGTGCTCAGATCTCCCCCCCCGCCCCAGCTAATTCAGCCTAATGAACGGGAGGTTATAAAGAGGGCTGAGCTTAGAGCCATTTCAAACATTTATGGGTCCCTCTTAAGTGAAAGGAATAGGAACTATAATGATTCTGACAGTAAGTGCTTAGGATATTTTTATAGGCAATAAACTATCTGTCAGTGTAATGGCCGCAGCCGAATGACACGGGATGTGGAAACTGTTATCTGGGAATGTTGACAGTTCATAAAAAAGTAACAGCTTGTGTTAAATCTATTTCGCTCCTAGAACTTTGCAAAACAAATGTCATCTGTGAAGCTTCTAATTCTCCTTCGCTGCTAACAGGCACTGTCAAAATAGATAAAGCTACGGCCCAGTTAATGTCTGTCTAGAAGCATTCAGTACACACCTGGGTAGCTGTGCATGAGAACAGGAGACACAGCGCGGTACGCAGGGTGATTTGGATCATACATCTGGGGGTAAGGGTAAGCGTGCAAGTACTGTATGTACGACTGGTGCTGAGTCATTGGAGAGGAAACCGCCACTCTGGCGCCCCGTGATTCCTTCCAATTCACGGGAGTCTTTCGATCATCATTTTTGATCTTGTTCTCCTCCAGTGACTGGGAATCGGAACGCTTGATCTCCTTAGGCTCCTCTTTAATGCTGTTTAATGAGACAGGAATGCTGGAGAAGGAGGCTTCCTTGTTAGGTGTTTTTCTGGGGCTATCTTCTTTTAACTTTTTTTCACGTTCCAGCTCCTCCGCTTTCTGCTGATCAAGATATTTTGGCTGATATACATAATGGTGCCACGTTCTCGTGTCTGGGTCCTGATATGGGCAGGGGAGAAAAAAGGTTCACCATTGATATTGTTCAAGAGGAATCTTCACAGCCACATTAATCCACAAAATGAGGGGCAACAGCAACAGAGAAAATAGGAAACTGGCAACAGCCCAGAGAACTGCTTTAGGCCTTTATTTCCCTGAACAGCAGACCCTCAACCATGTCACTTACTGCTTTTGAGATTCCCATAAGTCACAAAAGCAGTTTGTCACGCAGTGCAGGACAGCACTTTTTGAGAACCAAAGTCCTACCTGCTGTAGCGATAAAACTTTTGAGAATTTTTGAAGCTAACAGGGGGAAATAGAAAAACTGAAATATAAAGGTAAAGGTAAAGGTACCCCCTGCCGTATGGGCCAGTGTTGACAGACTCTAGGGCTGTGCGCCCATCTCACTCAAGAGGCGGGGGCCAGCGCTGTCCGGAGACACTTCCGGGTCACGTGGCCAGCTGACAAAGCTGGCATCTGGCGAGCAGAGCCGCACACGAAACGCTGTTTACCTTCCCGCCAGTAAGCGGTCCCTATTTATCTACTTGCACCCAGGGTGCTTTCGAACTGCTAGGTTGCAGGCGCTGGGACCGAACAACAGGAGTGCACCCCGCCGCGGGGAATTCGAACCGCCGACCTTCAATCGGCAAGCCCCAGGCGCTTGAGGCTTTTACCCACAGATAAATCAAAACACTGCTGTAACACTTTAAATGCATTACAGTGGTTCTCAAAATTAATCGGTTTGATTCTCGAAACTGTTCGAAAACTAAGGCGCGGCTTCTGATTGGCTGCAAGAGCTTCTTGCACTCAAGCAAAAGCCACGTCGGACATTTGGCTTCCAAAAAATGTTCGCAAACCGGAACATTCACTTCCAGGTTTGCAGCGTTCGGGAGCCGATTTGTTCGGGAGCCAAGCCGTTTGAATACCAAGGTACCACTGTATATGGTACTTGGCAGAAACAACTGTATAGTTTGGTATTTTTAAGACACTCATTAATATAAGTGCCATAATTTGATCCAAGCAATACTTGCAAAGATACCCCATGTTAGAGACTGAGCTGCAAGCCACTGCTCCCTACATAAGACAACGATAAAGGTAAAGGTACCCCTGACCGTTTGGTCCAGTCGCGGACGACTCTGGGGTTGCGCTCTCATCTCGCTTTACAGGCCGAGGGAGTCGGCGTTTGTCCACAGACAGCTTCTGGGTCATGTGGCCAGCATGACTAAGCCGCTTCTGGCAAAGCAGAGCAGCGCACGGAAACACCTTTACCTTCCCGCCAGAGTGGTACCTATTTATCTACTTGCACTTTGACGTGCTTTTGAACTGCTAGCTGGGCAGGAGCTGGGACCGAGCAACGGGAGCTCACCCTGTCGCGGGGATTCGAATTGCTGACCTTCTGATTGGCAAGCCCAAGGCTCTGTGGTTTAGACCACAGCGCCACCCGCGTCCCCAAGACAAGGATACCCTTAAGGAAAAGCCAACACATTCTTTTATTTTTATTTTTAAAAAAGGAAGACAACATTTACACAAATGCGCTTCCACAGTAAGTCTCAGTTTCTGCCAGTTGGGAAAAGAAAGTTTAAAATAGAAAGAGTCGACCCTGAAGTAAATACAAGGTTTTATTTGCTGGGCTGCGAAAGACTGGCTGGGAGTCAAAGATCTGTATGACTAGTTCTGCACACCCAAGAAGGCTTTAAAGCTTTTGCTTTTCACATAACAGCCACCGCTCTTGGAACCCTCCTGAACTCTCTTTTTTTTTTAAGAGAGAGAAAAGGCTGAGAAAATAAAACATCCTTATACTGTAATGTAATTAAGGAGCAACGATACATTTGGATGCTCATTAATCTTCAACAGTATTTCATCATTACCTTTGCTAACCTGGTGTCTTCCAGACGTTCTGGACTACAACTCTAGTAGGAGCCAGCTCCTAGGGACAGAGGTCCCTTCGTCCCGCCCCCCATAAAATACATGCAAAGCAAGAAGGAAGACCCACGATGGCAAATGGCCCCCTCCAGGTAAGCATGCACAGGGCTGTGGCCTAAACTGATCTCATAACCCTTTTCACCACCAATTATGAACGATCTAGGCTTGCCATCGTTTGCATTTCAAAAAGGCTCACCTGTTTAAACCTTGTAGTGGGATCTACTCCAGTCTGTTTCATAGAATCCATAACCGATTTCATTTCCACCGCCTCCTTTATAAGCTGGTGATTTTCCATTTGCTTTGCTTTGAAGCTATCCGACTGAATCTGTTGCTGATGATTGGGAAGAAGCTGCGATTTGCTTGTCTCCTCCGTTTTATTAGGGACCAATGACCCTATTTTAGAGTTATTTTTACTGGCCTCGGGAGTCGGAGGCGCTTTGGAGATAGTAGCGGAGGGGATGTTTTTCAGCTTATCGTCTTTCCCCAGGTCTTTGAGGGGGAGTTCGTTTTTCCTTTCACACTCTCTCCCAGCAGTTTGCGCCATTTTCTGCTCCGCCAGTCTCTGGTCCTCGTAATATTTCTCGTACTGCTGCCTGTAAGCTGGGTTCGAAGCCATCAAGGACTTTTGGTCCATGTACAGCCCATAGGCATACTGGCCGTAGTAAAGTGATTGGGCGAGTGCAGGATGCCTCTGAGTTATGACCGACTGGTGCTGAGGTTGTAAATTAGTGGGACTGGCTTCGCTTTTCTTGCACTCAGCCGGCTCGGCCTTCTCTTTCTTCTCAGCCTCTTCCTCCGCCTCCTTTTTGATCTTCATTCCCGGTGCGTTATTGCCATTCCCAGCCGCAGGGGCGCCGACCTGCCCGGAGTGCATGTAACTTGGAGAATAGTACGGATCATAACCGTGGTAATAGGGAGAATGGGGCTCTTTCACTTGGGGCGGCTGCACCGGGGCGGAGGAATGCCCTTTGACAACGCTGTCCTTGTTAGAAATAATATCCGAAGGGGAGCTGGCCTTGGACCTCATCCCCTCCGACCGGCTGTCGGAACCGCCATCGTCGGCCGCGTCCGAGATATCGGAGTAAGCCGGGCTGTTGGTTTTAGCAGCGGCGCCCTCTGCCCCGTTCTGCGTCAGCACATGCAGCGGCGCGATGGACGACTGTCCGTTCACCAAAGTGCTGCATTCCATCCTGGAGGCGCTGCCTATCGACGGGCTGGGGGCGTTGTCTGTGAAGGTGTAAACCTTATCCGCTTCGGCCTTGATGCTTGCCATCCTGCTCTCTTGGGACTCCGACAGCCCGTTCGCCAGCACCTCATTCTTGCTGAGATGCTCCTTTAAAAAATGCCCGGCGATCTCTTTCCCGGGCCCCTTGGCGTCCTCCAACTTCCCCAGCTTCAGCTCCATTTTGGGGCTTAGGCTCTCTTTGCTCTCTTTGTCCTTCAGCTTCCTCTTCTCCTTCTTCTTCTTGTCCTTGAGTAACGTGAGGGCCGGGTTGACGGTGCTCGGCTCCCCCATGATGGTGGGCTTTGGTTGAATAGGTTTCAGCGGAGGGCTCTTTGGTGTCGCCTGCACAACAGTCGTCGTCAGCGAGGGCAATCCTGGCATCGTGCCGGTAGTGGTGGTTGTAAAGGCTGCCGTCGGTATAGCTATTAACTGAGGCGGGGTTGGAGCTGGAGCTGGGGCAATGGGCCGGGCCGTTTTCAGCTTCGACAGGTTCTTCTCGACTTTGCAGTTGCTGCCTTTCTTGCCTTTCTCTTTCTCTCCCCCGTTCTTCTTGTCTATTAGCCCTTCAGCCTCCAGTTTGGGCATCTCGGCCGCCAAACTGCCGTCTGCCACCGAGCAGTTCTCCAACGTCACGGTCATGTTGGAAATGACCGGCAGGCTGTTGAGTTCGCTGTTCAAGCCCCTCTTTTTGCCAGAGTTCTTGCCGTTGCTGGCCTGCTCCCTTTTCCCCTTGGGCGTCCCGGGGGTGCTGAGGGGGCAGGGAGAGGCGGGCGCTTTCAGCTGATCAAAATGAGAGAAACTTGTGCTTGGCTCGTTGCATTCCAGTGCCACGTTGCTGAGCGCCTCCTCGCAGTCGGAGATTTTGTCTTCGCTGTCAGGCTCAAATTCCAGTTTGTTTTCCGGGTCCAAGTGTGCATGAGCCTGGTGGTATCTCAACCCATTGATGTGCTTGTATTTCTTGTTGCAGTTGGGATGGGGGCAATCAATCAAAACCGGAGAAGAGCAGCCTTGGTCCAAAAAAGCAGTCTCTGGCTTGCCCTGGGGAGTGGTGGGAGTGCTTCTAGAATTGGTACGGACACGCTTCCCAGATTTATTGTCCTCTGAGCTGGAGTTCAAATCCAGCTCCATGGGTGGCTTATTTTTCCTTTTATTGGTGGACAAGGGGCTGACTTTGACATCCTCTATGGCACAATTTGGGGGTGTCCTGCGGCCACTCGAATTAAGGCTGCCCCTCCTTCCTTTGCCATTGGCACCACCTCTGTTCTTGCCCTGCAGTCCCCTGGACTCTGTGAAGCTGACATCCGCCCCCGGCGCAGTCGCCGCGGCGGCGGACCGCGCTCGCTTCCCCCGTCCCCGGCCTCCTCGCATTTCCAGGTCGCTTGTTGGCGATTCACAAAACCTGCGTAAATAAAACGAGATGTCAGAATTGAGCGGGCATAAGAGGGAAGGGCAAAACAGACTCAGATCATCATAAACAATGGACTACTAAGCGCACATCAAATCAGCATGCAGGCCAAAAAAACCCCCACCCTTAGTAGTCCTTAGAAAGAAAAGAAATCTTAACGAGATTGTCTGTAAAAGAAAGGTAAAGGAACAAGCTGTGCACGTCTGGGGGGGGTGATTTTAATTATGTACATTTATACTCTGCTTCTTGGCCAGAAAAAGAGAAAGCCCCATTAACAATAAAACAAGACTAAAATGCAAAAAGCATAATGAAATCAAGAAACAAATAACCAGTCAGAACAATGTAATGGAGCATAAAAAGTCAGCTCTAATAAAAGTTAGGGGTCCTAAGGGGGGGGGCGGGGTGTGTGCATTGCAGGGGGTTGTCCTAGATTACCCTTGCAATCCCTCCTAACCATATACAGTGGTACCTCGGGTTACATACGCTTCAGGTTACATACACTTCAGGTTACAGACTCTGCTAACCCAGAAATAGTACCTCGGGTTAAGAACTTTGCTTCAGGATGAGAACAGAAATCGTGCAGCGGCGACACAGCGGCAGCAGGAAGCCCCATTAGCTAAAGTGGTGCTTCAGGTTAAGAACAGTTTCAGGTTAAGAACAGACTTCCGGAACGAATTAAGTACGTAACCAGAGGTATCACTGCAACTCTCTGAACAGCAAGCACGGCAGTGGAGAAGGCCCTCTTGCTGGTTGCCACCAAAGACATCCCAGAAGGTAGGTTACCTACATAGTTCTCTCCTACAGTTCTTAAGGTGCAAGAGGAAGTCCTTTAGTACTGTCCTTGTTTTGATGCCAGAATAACAGTTTCCCCTCGATACCTACATTCTGCTGCGCCTAACAGAGAATTTGTGCTTCTTGTGTATGGTTTCAGTTACACGGAATTGTTTTTTAATTAATCCCTGCCCAGTTTTCATGCCAGATATTGGAGGGGAAAGCAGAGAAAAACCAGACTCAGCGTGTCTCCTTACCTAGGAGGAGCCCAGTCGTGTTTTGTGCAATCAAGCAGCGTTCCAACGTATGTTTTATTCCGCCATGTAACATTTACTACTAGGACACCTGCGGACGAGAGAGAAAAACAAAAACGGTCACAGTTAGAACAACATCTTTTTGAACCTTGCTTAAAAATGGGGAAAGGGGTGGGGTGGGCAGAGAACAGCATTTCTTATTTGATTTGAAAGGCTGCGGTTTACAAGCGTCCTCTTTTTTTTATTTATTTCAGTGACCTCCAATTAAAACCCACAGGAGTGTCTCTGTGTGTGCAATGTGCGTGCAAAAGGCTCAGAAAGAGAATAATCAAGATACAGCTGCGGGGAGGAAATGGTTTTTGCTACGTCCCGCTGTAAAAAGGCAACAGTCACCTCTTAATTTTGCTATTATTGCACATAATTGCTCTTGTTTGGCTTTCAGCTTGCATAAATGGAGCGCCAGTAGCTAGTGCTTGGAGCAGGAGGTGGCTGGTGAAGAATCTGCTTTGTCTTCAAAAAAATACAATGTTGACTTTATTTATTTGAAATAACACACTACAATGTAGCATTAAATACAGACAAACTCTACATATTATTTAGAAGCTGATACTGGGCACCCTTCATTCATCTTAACCACAATATAAACACAATTATTCCCCCCCCCAAAAAAAGAACATATGGGTGTGTGTTTTTAAACGTTGTGCCTTTCTAAAGCTTCATATGTTCTTTTTATAGGGAAAAGATACAAACTGAAAATCCGAGGGCTAATAAATCCTCTTCTGCAGTCATTAAGCAGAAAAGGAGGAGGGGATTGGGTTTTTCTCCAGCACCGATCACACAAATAAAGACGATTTACAAGAACTGTGATAGTGAACGATGACACCATTAATTCATTAGATATGGTACAGACGTACACATAACAGTCATTTCTGTTTTCAGAGCATTAAAACCCGTGATCAAAAAAGCCTGAAGCAACGGTACCATTTAGCTGCAAAGAAATTCTTTCTAAATATTTAACACCAATTGCCAAGTCTGAATGAGCTTTTTCACCCCCCTCACAATACACCTTTGTGTCTCCTAGCTCCAATTCCGGCTTTTTTTTAACTGGTGAAATAATAAAGTAAATAAATAAATAATGAAACTGCGCCTTGTGTTTCCAGCTTGCCAGCTCACTTTACGTCACCAGTGCGATTTCTAATTTTGCATTCAACCTTTCCCCAGACTCCTACACCAATGTAAAGAAAACATGTAGCCTGCAACTTATTTCCTCAGGGCCCTTTTAACAGCAGGAAAGTATTTTGAAATGCTATTAGCTAAAGTACCAGGGAAGAAGGGATTTCCTTTAAGCATTTCCAACAGCGTATCAAGGAGGGGGGAAAAGATGGTTCCCTGCATGGTTTTAGCTTGTTATTGTTAAGCGACGGCAGAGTGTACAAATTCTGACTTCAGTCTATTTAAAAAAAGCCTAACTCCAGATACAGGAGATAAAATCGTTTGCTAAGGTATGACTAACAGCAATTAAAATTAAATGTGTTTCTGTGCTTTGAGGGGTTTTTTTCTTTTTGTGCTTTTAGCAAATTTCGCAGCTGGGAAAACACATTTCATCCCTACCACCACCCCCTCTTTTTTAAAGCACCCGATAAAACTATGAGGGAAAAAATGGTCTGTTTTTCTCATCATTCGCTCTCTAGGCTAGGGCACCGCGTGGGGTGTCAGAGACCTTTCCAACTGCTTAAAATTCTCCAGCATGTCATCTATATTTACAGCACTGGAATATATTTGTATTGCCAGAAGGTTAGCGCTTTTTCAGCTTCAGATGCAATAGGCTGAATCACTTTGTTCCCGAAGTCTCTGATGTAGCACAAATGTATAATTAAAATTGCTTGAAAGGGAAACATGAAAGAAACAACAAGCCCTCCATTCTTGGAGTAATAAAATTAAAAACAGGAAAAGCCTGCACAGACACTTAACATTTGTCTGCAGTGAAAGGCTTTTGTTATTGCCTTCCCCTAAGGGCTTCATATTTCCAGCAAACGCCGGCTCTGGATTGGCCGGCCCGCACTGGGAACGCTGCTGCCTGATTGGCTGGGCTGAGCACTGCAGCACAGGCCACAAAAAAGGCGAGATTCAAAGGGAAATAGTGATGTAACATGAGAGTCCTTGCATGGAGCAGCAGGGCGAGGGGGATGGGAAGGGAAGGAAGAGAGAGAGAGAGAGCCAGGGATAAGCTGAGCGGCTTTGATTCCTGCTTCTGTACTCATGCTCTGGTTTGTTTGCTCTAACTAGGCTTGTCAACATGATGAAAGGTTGCTGCCTGCTAAACTGCTCTGCGTCCATATACACAAGCAAATGAAGAGAGCATGCAAGCTGCTCTTCAGATCACACAAGGAGAAAGCCAAAAATAAGGGCGCTTGCAAAATGGAGCAAGGAGGCATTAAGCTGATGTAAACAAAACCTGCTCCTTCTCCCTTATGGGGTATCCAAGAGCCCGTATAGAGTCCTTAAGTGGGTTCCCCATCGGTAGGAGAAAATAACAGAGGCCAGCCAGAGAATACTGAGAAGCAAAGCAGCTAGGAGGCCTGATCTTTATTCAACTGTTGCAACAGGGTCCTCACTCACCACACGCAGGAGCGAGGAGGAACCCAGAACCACGGCGTGCAAGCCCTTATATAGACTTTGGAAATTGCCCACCCTGTAGCTCAAGGTAAGGTAAAGGGACCCCTGACCATTAGGTCCAGTTGCGGACGACTCTGGGGTTATTGGCTGAGGGAGCCGACGTACAGCTTCCAGGTCATGTGGCCAGCATGACTAAGCTGCTTCTGGCGAACCAGAGCAACGCATGGAAATGCCGTTTACCTTTCCGTTGGAGCGGTACCTATTTATCTACTTGCACTTTGGCATGCTGTCGAACTGCTAGGTTGGCAGGAGCTGGGACCGAGAAACGGGAGCTCACCCCGTCGCGGGGATTCGAACCGCCGACCTTCTGATCGGCAAGTCCTAGGCTCTGTGGTTTAACTCAGTGCCACCCACGTCCCTGTAGCTCAAGACTAACCCCCCAAAACATACATATATCACAAAAGGAGGCAGTCTAAAGCAGAAATCCTGTCTGCCAGTATAGCTGACAATGGCCAGTGATTGCTTACTTGGGCAGCCCAGCCATTCTTTTGTGATGGTAAACACTTTAATTCCTGAATCCGGGTCACAGGCTCACCCTATTCATACACAAAGGTGCCCTAAAGACAGGTAAGGAAAAGATAAATGGAGAGGCTTTCGCATTTCCTTCCTCCTTGCAGAGAAACATTTGAAGTCAATTTGGGAGAGTCAAAATGGTTTCAGGACTGTTCTCCTGTACTATTATAGACACTTGGTTTACAAACTTATGTATGTGTTTGCCTTGTAAATCTATGAACATTCAATTTGTATATTTGGGACCTTAAATTCTTATAACAGCGCAAAGCAGGGAACAGCCTGGTCAACGGCGGTTAAACGAAAGCCAAGTCTGAAATCAACGAGTTATTCAAATCTATGGCAGCTATTTCTGGACACGGTTAGCAAAGGCCGGGTAATTTTACACCCTGAATATGTGCAGCTTCACCAAGGAAACAGATATTACGCTGACCGTAACGGTTAATGAACAGTTTTGTGGATGTGGAACACCACCTAACATGGAGACGGGTCAAGGAACGATCTAGCCCTCTACTGCAAATGTGATATGGCAGCAGCTCTCTGCAGTCCCTCAAGGCTTATTTAGTGCCCTTAACTGAGTAAGTCGAGGCTCAATGCTCAGAACTGCACTCTGGCAAGGAGTCTTTGCTCAGAAGTGCAGAATGGGCAGCACAGTTGATGCCAGGAACCACAGCTGTGGGGTGTAACTCCATGTAGTTAGTGTGAAATGTTTCAGGGTGGTTTTATGCATGCTAGGGGAATCTTTCATTCCCCGGGACTGAAAGATGGTATTTAACTCTGAGTAGGCTTGCTAAGAAGGGACGCGGGTGGCGCTGTGGGTTAAACCACAGAGCCTAGGACTTGCCGATCAGAAGGCCGGCAGTTCAAATCCTTGCGACGGGGTGAGCTCCCGTTGCTCGGTCCCTGCTCCTGCCAACCTAGCAGTTCGAAAGCACGTCAAAATGCAAGTAGATAAATAGGTACCGCTCCAGTGGGAAGGTAAACGGTGTTTCCGTGCGCTGCTCTGGTTCGCCAGAAACGGCTTAGTCATGCTGGCCACATGACCCAGAAGCTGTACGCCGGCTCCCCTGGCCAATAAAGCGAGATGAGTGCCGCAACCCCAGAGTCGGCCACGACTGGACCTAATGGTCAGGGGTCCCTTTACCTTTACCTAGGCTTGCTAAGATGTATAAGTCTGAATCAGGTAAGTGCTGGAGATGCAAAGAGGTGGAGTGAACGTTCTTTCACATGTGGTAGACTTGTAAAAGGGTAAAAGACTACTGGGAAATGATCCATAATGAATTGGGGCAAAAATGTTTAAAAATACTCCCCCCCCCCAACAGAATCCTTTCTGTTGGGGATAATTCAGACTGAAATTCCCAGGCGTCAGAAAAGGTTATTTATGTATGCTACTATTGTGGCCCGTGTTTTTTAGCCCCCAAATGGAAAATGAGCAAGGTCCCAACTAAAGAAGAATGGCAACTTAAGTTGACAGAATATGCACAACTCGAAGACTTAACTTATAGAATAAGAGAACAAGAAGAACATATGTTTAAAGAAGAGTGGAAAACGTTTATTGGCTATATGGGAGGAAATTATGTACAGCTGAAAACGCTGGCAGCATTAAGATAAATTCAACAGTGTAAAAAAGTTTTGATGGATGCAATAATGGAATACTGAATGGTATAGTTTTTGCAAAATATGCAGGGATTTATTATATGTAAAATGAACCATGGAAAGAGAAGATGGGAAGTCATTGATATCTTAAGGATGTAAAATGAGTATTCTAAATTGTAAAACAGAAAATTTAATAAAAATTATACAAAGAAAGAAAGAAAAAGATTCCCCTCCATGTCTGCTCTCAAAACAGAGTTGCTTCTATATAGTATTTACATGTTGGAAACATTCTCAAGGCCAGTTTACACA